ATGTGGAACACAGGTTGATTTCAGAACCGGCCTATCTCTAAATAGCTTTCTTTCTCTAGAATGAAATGGGCCAATGTTTTTTGCGGGTCGGGGTCAAGTATATTTTTTCTAACCCCGGGTCTTGTTTTCATTTTGGTGTGAGAGACGCAGCTTTCTTGGTGGCTTTCCTGTTTGTGTGCTGATCTTAACTTCCCTGTCACTTTCAGACTCTTAGAACAAGATCTCTCATCTTTCAGAAGCTGATGGGTCTTGCTCAAAATGAATGGACAGCCTTGGAAGAATTCCCCTAACATAGTGCTCCGTGTCTTTTTTTAAAAGAGGAATTTCACCTCATAAGGCAGGGTGGGTGGCCTGGGTAGAAAGCTGGAATGTATGATCATAACCACCAGCCTAGTGGGGCTGTATTTGGAGGGCATAGAATGCACCCTTCTAGTGGTCTTTGGAATCTGTCTCTTTGGTCACAAGAAAAATAGAGGAAAGGAAAGGGGAACAGTTTAACATAAAACCATTCATTTCCCAGGACAAACCTCTCAAGATAGCATACTGAAGTCTTTATGAGTCTGTAGAGTGATTTCTGCTGTGTTTTGTCTTCTTTCCTATATACCCTTCCAGACCATCGCAGGCAAGTGGAGTTAACCTGTAGGTTGTCTAGCTATTCGCAGAAGCATCAGGGTCTCCAGTGTAGACGACTATTAATCACACATGGAAGATGTCTGCTCCCTCTCCAGAGTGGGCTCTAGGATGAACAATGGTCATCCATTCTGCTTAGAGAATAACAGTGGCTACTGATTTACATAGTCAAAAAGGCCAAGTCTTCACAGTCCCCCGTGAAACCACACCCCCAAGTGCACATTTTCTTTGTGTTTTCTTGTGCTTACAGTATTTTTTACCTGGCACACAGAGGCCGCTTCTGCATCCATCCTGTACTGGCCCTTCATAAGTCATCCTCATCCACTCTGTCCAGGTTCTGTGGAGCCTGACCCTGTACTCTGTCCAAAATGGCTACCTTGTTCCTTTCCCATCCCTCTTTAATGCCTCTCACCCTGCCCCTCTCTGGCTTTTAAAACGTTTCTCTTAACACCGTCTTACACTGCATCGACTTATTTATTTCCATTTACTTTCTCCCTGTACTAAAATATAAACCCATTGGCACAGGGTCCTTCATTTTGTTTATTGAGGTTTTCTAAACACCTAGTAGGAAAGACAGTCTATAAACACTTGGTGAGTGAATGGATAGGTCCCATTTCCGGCCCTAAGAGCTACGAGTGAGGTGGGGGGTGGGGTGGGCAGGAGCATTGCAACTGAAGAGAGCCTTCTGTGTCTCTGAGAAAGCCAGAAGCCCATTCACCTTTTCATGGGAAGCTGCCCCCTCAGGAAGGAGGTTATGCAAGTGTGAAGCTTTTCCTATTCAGTTGTACCCTAGACTGGTGAAGAAACCTGACTGGTCAGAATAATGTCTCCTACCTAAATGTCCCCAGCTTCCTGTTCTAGGAATGACCAGCCACAGCAGTCACAGAGAAACCAACGGAAAAACAAGTTTCCTCCAATCTTCCCCTGCACCTTGAGCATTGAGGTTTCTGAAGATTATGGCAGAGTTTATCCAAGCGAACTGTGACCGCCACTGTGCCTCCTTCCCCTGACTGGTGGTGATGCAAAGCCAAGGCTGAAAGGAGGGCACTGGGGTATCCGGAGTGGGGGAACCTCAAATAAAATGCATCTTGAAAAAACAGGAGTTGCCCTTGGAGATCCAGCCCGGCTGCTTCCTGAAAAGGAACCACACAGTGTGGGTCTCCTGTCCCCTGACTCCCCTTCTCCTTTCCAGCTCTCTTCCTCTACTCTCTGCAAGCCCCTTGGAAAAAACAATTGTCTTGTTTCTAGACTGAGTACTGTGGCAAGGAGACAGTCCTGGGGGCTGGGAGTTGAAGGCAGCCGTGCATAAGAACTCATCCAGCTGAGGCGCCCATGCTCTGCATCTGTCAGTTGTGCGGGGTGGGGGGAGAGCGGGGGCTTGTCTGCAGGGCAGAAGCGGGGCGGGCAGGATTCTGATGAAGGGAAAACTGATGCTCTTGTTGTGGGTGGGCACTGACTCTCCTTCATGCTCCCCAGCTGCCAGGAAGCAGCCACAGTCCAGTTAAATTGCAAAGCAGAGCATCCCTTCACTTCACAATCTGCTTCTTCTTTTTTAAGTGTTCAATAAGGTCTTGAGTTAGATCAGAACAGAATGTGTGGGCGTCCTCAAGTAACTAAAGAGCTATGAGTGGATGGCGTTTTCTGTGCGTCGTTCTTTAAAAACATTTCTTTCTCCTCCACTTCCTCCTCTTCGTTATTAATATAGTTGTGTGTGTGTGTGTGTGGTTTGAGTGACTGTGTGTGTAACCGTGTGTGAGTGTGTGTGTGAATGTGTGTATGTGTGTGTGTGGCTGTGTATGTGTAAGAGACTGCTGACGGTGTGTGGGTGTGCATGTGAGTGTGTGGGTGAATTTGTGTGACTATGTGTTCGAGTGTGTGTGTGTTTGAGTGACTATATGTGAGTGTGTGTGTGTTTGAGTGACTATGTGTTCGAGTGACTGTGTGTGTGTGTGTTTGTGAGTGACTCTGTGGCTGACCGTGTGATTGTGTGTATGTGTTTGAGTGTGTGTGTGAGTGACTGTGTAGATGAGTGTGTGACTGTGTAGGTGAGTGTGTGACTGTGTGTATGTGTGTATGAACATGCATGCAACTGTGTATGACTGTATATTTGTGAGTATGCAAGAGAGTGTGTTAGTGTGTATATGAGTGTGTGAGTGAGTGTGTGTGTAGGCCAGGTGAAGTGGATTCTCTCCTTCTACCATATGAATGCTAAGGATGGAACTCAGGTCTTCAGCCTTAGTGGCAAGTGTCCTACCCACTGGACCATCTCAGTAGCTCCTGTATATTGTCCTTAATTTCCAAATATTATTATGTGTTACCGTGCTTTATAAACACTTTAATTCTCATTCATTCATGCATTCATTCATACAACTATTTATTGTGTATGCCATGATACATGGTATGGAAGTCAGAGAAAACTTGCTGGAGTGATTTTCTTCTCCTACCATGTGAACATTTGGGGTTAAACTCAGGGCATCAAGATTTGGCCTCAGGCACCTTTATTAGTTGATTCATCTTGCCAGCCTATATTGTGGTTCTTTAAAAATATTATTTAAAATTAAATATTAGTTTTCTTTTTCTTTTAAAAAAAGTATTGATCTTATTTTATTTATTTATTTATTTATTTATTTATTTACACTCCAGGTCCATCCTCGGACTGTTCCACATCTCATGCCTCCTCCCTGAACTCCTGTCTCCATGAGGATGGGGGGGGGCGGCACCCCCACCCCACCAGACCTTTAAACTCCCCGGGGCCTCCAGTCTCTTGAGGGTTAGGTGCATCATCTCTGACTGAACCCAGACCTGGAAGTCTTCTGCTGTATATGTGTTGGGGGATCTCATGTCAACTGGTGTATGCTGTTTGGTTGGTAGTCCAGTGTTTGAGAGATCTCGGGGGTTCAGGTTAACTGAGACTGCTGGTCCTCTTACAGGGTCACCCTCCTCCTCAGCTTCTTCCAGCTTTTCCCTAATCCAACCATAGGGGTCAGTAGCTTTCGTCCATTGGTTGGGTGCAAATATCGGCATCTGACTATTTCAGCTGCTTGTTGGGTCTTTTGGAGGGCAGTCATGATGGGTCCCTTTTGTGTGCTCCATAACCCCAGTAATAGTGTCAGGCCTTGGGGCCTTGAGTTGGATCCCACTTTGGACCTGTCACTGCACCTTCTTTTTCTCAGGCTCCTCTCCATTTCCATCCTTGTAGTTCTTTCAGACAGGAACAATTATGGGTCAGAGTTTTGACTGTGAATGACAACCCCCTCCCTCACTTGATGCCCTGTCTTTCTTCTGGGGGTGGGTTCTACAAGTTCTCTCTCCCCCCACAGGACATTTCATCCAAGGTCCCTCCCTTTGAGTCCTGAGAGTCTCTCACCTCCCATGTCTCTGGTACATTCTGGAGGGTACCCCCAACCTCCTACCTCCTTAGGTTGCCTGTTTCCATTCTTTCTGCTGGTCCTCAGGGCTTCAGTCCTTTTCCTCCACACAATGCTAGATCATGTTCCCCTCTCTACCTCCACAGTCTCCCTTTCCTTCCCAGGTCCCTCCTTCCCTTCCTCCTTGTGATTGCTTTCTTCTCCTTCCCAAGTGGGACTGAGGCGTCCTTACTTGGGCCCTTCAGCTTGTTAACTTTTTTGAGTTCTGTGGACTATATCTTGAGTATTCTTTTTTTTTTTTGTTTTTTGTTTTTTGTTTTTTTTTTTTGCCAATATCCACTTATTGTGAGTACATACCATGCATGTCCTTTTGGGTCTGAGTTACCTCACTCAGGATGATATTTTCTAGTTCCATCCATTTGCCTGCAAACTCAGGATGCCCTTGTTCTTAATGGCTGAATACTATTCTATTTGAACACCTTCAGGCCCAAGGGCTGCTCCTCCCAAGGCCATCCTCTGCCACATACGCCATGGGTCCCTCTGTGGTACTTTTTGGTTGCTATACTCCGTTTATTGAATGAATTGTTTGGTTTTTTGGGGGTTAGCTTCTTTAGTTTATTAAGGCCTTTTCAGTGATATTGGTCTATAGTGTTTATGGTGTGTGTGTGTACTTCTCAGATTTTGCTCATGATAACTCCTCCTCATAAGTTTGAGAATGTTCTTTCCATTTCAGTCTATGATATAGATTGAGAATCACTGGTGTTACAGTTTTTCTTTAAAAGTTTGATCAAGTTGAATAACAGAAACACCCAGTCCTTGGGTCTTTCAGAAGACATTTTGTTTGTTTGTTTTTACTGTTAATCATACAACTTGTTTCTGTCAATTCAAGTTTTTATATCCTCCAGTGTTAGTTTTGGTAGGTCATATATATGTAGAAATTTGACTATTTTGTCTAGATAGTTCCCTTTGTTAGGGTATAGTTTTACAAAACAATCCTCAGTGTTTCTGAATTTATGTAGCATTTATTAACTTTTTACCTATTTAATGGTATTTCTTCCTCTCCTCCCCTCCCCCATTCTCTCTAAAGTCTTGTCCAATTTGATTAATTACTTTTCAAATAACAAACTGTCACTTTCCCTCTCTTTGACTGAAGTCTTCTGTGGTCCATTTATTTTCTTATACTTCGTTTTCCTTTGCTTTGTTCTTATTTTCTAAGTTCTTGGGTGCTCTGCTTGATCACCAATTTGAAATTCTTCTAATATTTTGATGCCCAATACTCTTTGGAGAATCAAAAAAAAAAATCGAGGCTGCAATTCTCTCCTCTTGGGGTAGCCATTAACAACAAATAATAGATGCTGGTGGGTAAGTGGATGAAAAAGTAGCTCTTGTATTCTTTTGGTGGGGAATATAAATTCATGCAGCTACCCTAGAAAATAACATGAAGATCTTTCTAAACAAAATGAAACAGAACAAAACAAAACCCTAAAACTATAGTTACCAATGATTGATCTTTTCTACTCCCAGCTGTATATTCAAAGGAAATGATATCAACATACAGAAAAAATACTTACTACTATGACACAGAATTAGCCTCTGTGCTTTGATTCATGGATACAGAAAATAAGGTATATATAATACAATGGAATATTATTAAGTCACAAGGAACAGTAATATCCTGTCATCTGCAGCAAAATGTAAGAGAATGGAGGACATAATGTTAAGAGAAACAAGACAGGTACAGAGGGACAAGTACCACTTGTTCTCTTGAAACTAAAACAAAGAGCCAACATGTGAGCTAATGAGCAATTTTGAGAGTCAGAAAAAGGATTAGGGGAATGCAGAAGAAGGACTGATGAGTATTACCTATATGTAGTGTAGGCAAGTATAGAAACACCACACTGTGAACATGTGTTATCACTAAGCAAAATGAAATTTTGAATTTTTAAATTATCAATCTTTCTCTTTGTGGTTAGTAAGTGTATATCTCTCCTGTTTTTTTTTTAATATTTGTCTATTCAAAGTGTCAGGATACTCTTCTAGGTTATTTTATAAGAACACTATTGTTTTGAACTTTTCATCTAGATATGAAATGCTTCTGAGGACTTGACATTCTTTTTTAATAATAGTCATGGCTATCAAGACGCCATTTATTGACAGATCATTCTTGGAACTGGAGAGATGGCTCAGAAGTTAAGAATACTGGCTGCCCTTGCAGGTTCCCAGTACTCACATGGTTGTTCATAACGCTTTGTAATTCCAGGTTTAGGGGATCTAACCTTTTTCTTCCTGCCTCCTTGGGTGTCTCCCACACATGAATGTTAGACATAAAGCTCATAAAACATTGATGCATATAAAATAAAATAAAGGAAAAAGCTTCTAATCTTCATTATTTTCCACTGAACAACAGTGTTATCTTCATTGTAATTTTCATGATAGTAGCTGAGCCTGTTTCTGTATTTCTATTTTTAGCTTTATTTATCTCTTTGTTTATCTTTGTATAGACTTAGTTAACTATGACTCTGTGATCAATCTTAATTTCATCTCATAATGTAACTTATCTAACTGTTCTTTGTAATTATCTCATTTCTGCTTAGCCCTTTATATTTTCTATATATTTACCGTCAGCTGGCTAACATTCATGAACAGGTCTGAGTGTTTGATACCAAGATCATAGCATATATGTTAACTTGAAGCAATTGATATCTTTACATTTTGAATATTTTGTTCCATAGTCAGAGTCCAGCACTCTACTGAGACCTAGTAATATTTCTCTAAATGATATTAAGTGGTTTTAAGCTTTGACATTTTCATCTTTGTCATCTCTTTCTCTCTTTGCTTTTCATTGATCTGTGCCTTCATTGATTTATTAGTTTTCTCAAAGCCAACTGTTGACTCATTAACTCTTCTCTGATTTGTCCATGCCACCATCCAAATTATCCCCTCCTTCCATTTTCTTTTCATTTGTGTTTGTTTAATATTATTCTTGAAATGTCAACTCCTTGAGATGATTTTTGCAGCTTATCTTTTCTAACATATAAACAGATTTAGCTGATTGCTACATGCTTTAAGCTGTTACATCCTCAGCATTAGTTAACATGATCTCTCATATCTCATTGGTTTTTTACCATTCATTCATGGTAGTTCATTGGGACATTGTTTAATTTTCAGACATTTAAGAATTTCTTAATATTCTATTATTATTAGTTTTGATTACAACTTGTGTCCCCTTACAACATATTTCAAATGATGTGAATGTTGGAACACATTAAAGCTTGCTTTCATGTTACAGTCTATAACAATTTGAATGTGTGCTCCAAGTATATTTCAAGGAATATCATTAGGGCAGGCAGTGTTTTAGAAATCTCAGGGTATTTTTCTGACCTTCAAGAGGTTGTGAGTGGGAAATACAGACTAGATATAATGAAATGGGTTTAATCAAGTGAAGATAGAAAGTTATTTGCTATATGTGGAGTTAAATAAATCTGTCTCTATTTCTAGTGTAGACAGGTATCACCTTCCAGCAATGACATAGCACTGGTAAATTCATTACTATCGTTGTCAAGAAGTTTAGGCAAAGAAACATGAAACTGGGGTTTTGCCTGTGTTTGCCAACAATTACAGAGAAGTTTGGTAAACTTTCCACCATGGTTATCATCTTGTCTGTTTCCTTATAGTTCCCTAATCCTGTGGCCTTCTGTACAAGTGCATGGAAAGTATTTAGTCTTTTAGGTACGTCATCTTTTTTTGTCATTGCAAAGAAGTCCTCTTATCTCTAAAACTTCTTTTTGCCTAAAAGAATTGCTATTATAATATTAGAGCTACATTATCTATGATAGAGTAATTCTTCATTATAGATTTCCCCCTCTATCCTTTTGTTTGGATTTTTCAATACTCTGTTATTCCCCTTGCCCCAGGCTCCTGACTGGATGTTTTCTATTGATGTATCTCAGACTACCAGTCTTTGTATGAGCTGCCCTTAATTTACTATATCTAATCATTATAGTATTTAGTTATTGTATTTTCAATTCTTTAATTTCTGTTTGAGTCTTTATTACAGATTTCCCTTTCTGATAGTGTTCTGTAGCCTGCTCTTGATGTTTTTCAGCACATTAACATAATTTTTAAAAGTCTATGCTAAATTTAGTAAATGAACCACCTCTGCATTAGTTCCTATTGTTGATTTCTTCCTTTGTTATTCCTCTTTCTTATTCTTCAGAGTACGTATTGAATGAATGCTGAACATTTTATTCAAAATAATTCTAATTGTGGGGGTAGAGATGGCTCAGCAGTTGAGAGCACTTGCAACTCTTTCAAAGGATTAGGGTTTCCAGTGTACATATGGCAGCTTTTGTCCACCAGAACTCCAGCTGTAGGTGATCTGACACCCTTTTCTGGATTTGGTGGGTACTCCCATCCACAGACAAATTCCCATCTACCCACTCTACACATATTCACATAGTTAAAATAATAAAAAGGAATTTTAATGCCACATTTCTTTGTTCAAACTGCTTGGCAATGTTTGTCACGAACTTGGCAATGCTGTGTGCTAGCTGGAAGGTGACACAGGGCATAGACTGTCAGATTTACTTTACTTTCATATGTGGTAATTGTTTGCTCCCCTAGATGTGAACTTGATTATATCTTATCTGTTTCCTGGTTGGTATTTCCAGTCTTAGAAGTTCTCAGTATATCACAATTTTTCCATAGCCATTGGTAAACTTTGCAAGATTCTCCACAGGTAACATCATTTTTCTTGTTCAATTCTTTTAATGACTGAACCCAGAGAACCAAGACAAGGGCTGGATCTCCTTTTTCTCATCTCCAGTGGATCTCCACTATAACTAAGGGGAAAAATAAAAGGGACAAAAATCACCAGGTGGACTAAGTCCCAAATTCAGCAGTCATGAATGGAACTTGTTTAATGATTTTTGTTTGTTCTTCCAATAAAAAAAATCATATCAGGATTGCCCCTCGGAGGTAAAAGTTGATACAGTGAGTATTATTTGCTGTTAATAATGAAGTAAAAATTCCCCATTAAATTATAGGGATGCTTAATAATCTACAGATGATGTAGAGTTGAGAGTTTTTCTTTGTTTGCCAGTGATACCTCATTTTAAATGTCTCTCCTCCCTCCAAGTAAAAGAGATGCGTCTTGCCACAGAAAGAAGTTGGAATTCAAGGTAACTTTCGTTCTCTTTATAGAAACTTGCTGCTCTTCTCACCTTTGTGGACATAAATTTGATGCTATATGTAAATGTGCCTTGTAAAGTCTAAAGTGCTGTAAAAATGAAGCTATTTTGCTTAATAATTAACATTAATGCTAATAAAATGTTGTCCCCTATTAAAATGCAAATGCTTTGGGGAGACTGAAACATTAAACCAATTATGCATGACTTGATGAGAAATATCTCATCAGCAACTTTCCTGGGCAGTCAATGAATTGGTGTAATGGAAGACAGGAGTGTGTGTGTGTGTGTGTGTGTGTGTGTGTGTGTGTGTTGTGTGTGTGTCTAGGACTGAAGAGTTAGGAGCCACTTGCTTATTACTAAAAGCAGTGGGATCTTACATTTGCTAATATCACTGAAAGGCTATGAGAAATGAATCAGTCAGTTCTGCTCACTAGAATCCACGTAAAAAGCTAGTTATGCAGAGATTGCAGTTTGAGGTGGAGACAGGAGAATCCTCAAAGGCTTCCTGACCAGCTGGCTAGCCAGCTTGTGAGCTCTAGGTTCAGTGAGAGTCCCTGTCTCAGAAAATAAGGTGGAGAGTAAAAGAAAAAAAAATGATGTTGACCTCTGCCCTACACATGTGCACCCCCCACCCCCTGTACATATACCATAGCTCACACACTCAAAACACACATACATACACCATAGCTCACACACTCAAAACACACATACACACACCATAGCTCACATTCAAAACACACCAAAATATACTCACAAAATAGGCATAAGCAGAAGATGGCAGTCGAAAGGGCTCTCATCTTTTAAAAAATTTGTCCATTTCCAGCTTCCGTTTTCTTATTCCACCTTCCTGTTGCCAACCCTCCTATTTTCCTTCTTCCTTCATTAGCTGAGATGTGGCAAGTGACAGGTGAAACCAATGGCCTCTGCCTTAGGGAGCTAAGGATCACACAGGCACAGAATATGTCAGATATTTTGATGCAGTGCTTTGTCCATAGCTAGGATAGCCTTGTGGGATTGCCTAATGTGGTTGGGAAGGTTTTCCAAATATGGCGATGGTGAAAACTGAGATGTAAAAATCTGAGAATGAGTAATGGAGGTTATATATCTGATATAATTATACATATATATATTTATATACATATTTATATACATTTATTTATATTTTTGTATATATTTATATACATATTTATATATATATAAAATTGTGTGATGACATCATATAAGTTTTAATATACTTTACCTTTTGTAGGCATTATCTTTGTATAAGAGTTTCTATCTACTGTCAGCTCTTGTGACCAATGTAGTTAGTTATAAGGTTGCATAATAATTCTCTTGAGTGTATTCCTCCAGTTTACCTGACATTTCATGTCATTTGTCTGGTGTTTCCTGTGCCTGATTAACATGCTCTGCCCTTTATTTGTATGAGGTCAACTTTTAAAAATGCTACATATAAACATGATCTTAATGCATTTGTCTATCTGTGCCTGATTGATTTAGTTTATCTTGGCATTCTTCTGGCTTCCCTATCTTGTACATGATAAGTGCATGTAATTTAATTTCTATTAAAAGTACAAGTCACCATGTTTGAATGTGGTGAACCCTAGTGGGTTTTAAGCAGCAGTGTCATGCATTGCAAAGCATTGTGCCTTAAAGCAAAGCTGAATGCAATTTTTATACTTTAAAATAGGGATAAGCATCTTCTTCTTTTGAGTCTCAGTTTAATGTTTACTTCTTCATTCCAACATTAAGAATCAAGAAGTCTCGGATGAAGTCTAAATTCCAAACAAAACGATGTAAAATAAAATGCAGTAATATAAAAAGTAAGGTATGAGGCTCAGTGCTTGTCCTTAAGTGTCTTTTGGCAGATGGTGTTAAATAAAGGCAAACAAGCACATGGAAGGCATCTGGGCTTTCCTGTCTGGGTCTGTGTGCTCTGGCAAAGATTATCCCACAGGAAGGCAGTACAAACTACATTTGAGGTATTTCCTTTGGTCTTCTGCTCCCTGACATCGTGTGTGTCTGTGTATGTGTGTGTGTGTGTGTGTGTGTGTGTGTGTGTGTGTATGTGTTTGGCTGTGTGTCCAGGCCAGAGTACAACATTAGGTGTCATTCCTCAGGTCCTGTCTACCTTTTGTTAAGATGTGGAACTCATTAGCATGGAACCCACCGACTAGACTAGGTTATGCATCTTGCTCCCAAAGCCACAGGGATCTGCTTGCCTCCTACCTAGTGTTGGGATTACAAGCGTACACCACAACATATAGCTCTGTGGGTTCTGAGGACTGAACTCAAGTCTTAGTTCAAGGCAAGCACTTTACCAAATGGACTATCATGACAATTTCAACCTACATGTTTCTCTTCCTTATGTTCTCTTCTTTCAGATGGATACTTCAGAGAATTCTAGATTAATTCCTGAGAATCCCACTCGTACTCAATGTTTTTGTCTCTTTACCTGGTACACTATTTCACCTTCTGTAAATTCCTTGATTTGGAAGTTAGAGAAGAGAGTCATTCACTAAAGCAGTTGATCAAGGCTATTTCCCCTGAGAGACTGGTAAGAATAGCAAGGTCTAGAAAGGAAATTTCCAGTAGAATTCTGGAGAAATGCTTATAGCCACAAGGGAAATAGAGTTTTGAGAAATGTGGAAGGGAAATGATATTTCAGATGCAAATTCATTTGGGTTTTTAACTATTTTCAGCTTTGCTTATTGCCTCCTGTGATATATGCTTTCTTTGTGGGTTCTCAGTGACTGATCAATGTGAACTTTATTTGAGCCTGTGGTCACAGATTATTTCCAGTGTTGGTAGCTCCTTTGAAAGAGGTTGCATTTGAAGGCTAGACACATCACATTCAAACCTTTATGTCCCATGAACTGCAGACCAGAGGCAGGAGTTGAAGGAGAAAGGAAAGTGCATGTTGTATGCCTACAGACAGTAGAATACATATATTAGCTTGGTTGAGCATAACAGCCATCTGCAAACATAGATGTTTTATGCATTTGTTAGAGATGAGAACACTGAAGTTCAGAAAGGTTAACAGACATCCCAAATTTATATTAAAAGGAAGAAACAGAAGGGGAATTTGATCTGATGTCTGTTTAAAATAGAAATTGGTGTTCTTTCCATAGCCAAATTGGAAAGAGCCATTTGGATGTATAAGAAGGAAATTCCTGTACCAAGTGATGGGATTCTTTATAATTATTCACATTTTAGGGGGTAGTTGATATTCCATCATTTAAAAAATTATTTCCTTTGGACCGTGATATGCAGCATGCCTGTTGACACTGAAGAACTTGGAAGACACCATAAGGAATGTCTGCCAAGCAATTTGGGAGGGCCCCATGGCTCCAGTGTCAGCAAAGTTTAGACATACATATACATGTATATTTGTACATCTTACTTCTGGATGACTTTGAATAAATAGCCTTTTGGTTGTTGAGAAAAAAAGGTGGGACTACTAGTCTACAGAATCCTCATGCTTTCTGGCTTACACCCTTCTACATGTGACCCAGCAGCCAAGAAATCTGAACAGACAAAGGTCGGGTCTCAAAGCCTGGAACCTATTGACAGCATCACATGCTAATGACACATGACTGTCAATGGACTCAGATTTCCATGACTGAGAATGAGGCTCAGAGGAGTGAGAGAACACATGACGAGAGCGAGAGCTATTTAGTGGCTCTCAGCTTACCGAAAACCAATCTGTTGAAAAGCAGTTCACCAAAAACATCAATTGAACACATAGTTGGTGAAAATCAGTTCACCAAAGATCAACTGACAATTTCCAGGAAAACTGCCCAGCAAATATTTTAAACCAGATGGAGGATATGCTGTTGCTGAGGTTTCCTAGCAAAGGCAAATGAGCTTTGCTGAAGGAGCAGAGCAGAGGATAAGGACAGGGGCATCACAGAGCAGATATCTATAAAATAATATCAGTAACAGCAAAGTCTGCTTTTTCCATAGTTTTGTGGATCCAACCTAGGGCTTTGTGCATTCTAGGTAAGCACTCTGAGATGGAGTTATATCCCCAGCCCAGTGTAAGTTTTAGATATACTGTTCTGAGTATTTCCAGTATTGAGACAAGTGCACATAATTCAAGAGAGATTGATACTCAAATCAGCCAGAATAACAAATCCATATAAAAACTTTGTATTACTATTGTTGACTTCTACTTTTTAGATATTTGAATGATGTTATCATGAGCACACATACATGCTTTTCCTTTTTCTTCTTTTGTACATATACATTTTAATTTCTTTCGGGTAGAAACCCATAAGAAGAATTGCTGGGCCATATTGTAAGCTGTTGCTTAACATTTAAAGAAACTTGATATCATTTTAGATTTTATTAACAAACAATTATCAACCATACTACATTTTCTTTATCCATTGTCTGTTGAGTGACTTCCAGATTGTTTCCAAGTTCTGGCTATTATGAATAGAGTGTCAATGAACATGATTGAGCAATAGCCTCTGTGGTACTATAAATTGTTGTCTGGGTACAGGTCCAACAGTGGTATAGCTAGATCTTGAGGTGTATTGATTTCCATCTTTCTGAAGAACCATCACACTGAGTTCCATGGTTGCTGTAAAAGTTTTCAATTCTACGGCAATAGATGAATATTTTCCATACTCCACATCCTTGCCAGAATAAGCTGTCATTTGTTTTGTTGATCTTATATATCCTGATGGGTCTAAGATGATATCTCTAAGTAGTTAAGTTTTCATTTCTTTGATTGCTAAGGATGTTGAACACTTTTTTAAGTGTTCTCAGGCATTTACGTTTTCTCTTTTGTGAATTCTCTGTTTAGATATGTACTCATTTTATTTTATTCTTCTTTCATAGAATACATCCCAACCATGTTTCCATTCCCTCTACTTCTTTCAGTACCTGCCCCTTCCCCAGGTCCACTCCTTCTCTGTTTCCTTTCAGAAAAGAACATGGCATAACAAGTTACAATAAGACTAGGCACAACCCCTCATATTCAGGGCTGGACAAATCAACCCAGTAGGAGGAAAAGAGTTCCAAGAAAAGGCAAAAGTCTCAGAGACACCCCCATTTTCACTGTTAGGAGTTCCATAAGAATACCAAGCTAACAAACATATTTGCATGGAACTTAGCACAGACCCATGCAGGCTGCTGCTCTAGTCTCTGTGAGCCCCTATGAGGCTTACTTAGTTGATTCTGTGTGCTGTGTTCTCCTAGTGTCCTTGACCCCTCTGGCTCCTCCAATTTTTTCTTTGTCTGCCTTGAGGTTCCCTGAGGGGAGGGACATGATATACCTTTCCAATTTAGCCTCGTTCTCCACCTAATGTTTGGCTATGCATACCCTAGTTTTAAATTGGGTTACTTAATTTCTTGATATTTAGTTTTTTGAGTTCTTGATATATTTGGGTATTATCCCTCCTATTGGATATGTAGTTGGAAAAAAATCTTTTCCCTGTCTACAGACTGAAGCTTTGTCAGAATGAAAGTGTCCTTTGTCTTACAGAAATTTTCAGTTTCATGAGGTCCCATTTATTGTTGATCTCAGTGCCTATGGTTATTGTGTTCTGTTCAGAATGTCTTCTCCTGTGAAATGTTTCATGCTAATCCCTGCTTTCTCTTCTATCAGGTTTAGTGTGTATCTCCTATCTGGTTTTATGTTAAGGTTTTTGATCCACGTGAACTTGTGTTTTGTGCAGGGTAAAAAGTATGGATTTGTTTTCATTTTTCTATATGCTGCCATCCAGCTGGACCAACATTATTTGTTGAAGATGCTGTCTTTGTCTCCAGCGTGTCTTTCTGGCTTTCTTAAAAAAAAAATCAAAACAAAACAACAACAACAAAAAAACCCCAGGTGTCTATAAGTGTGTGGGTTTGTGTTTGTGACTTCAACTCAATTTCATTGTCTCTTTTTTGTGCCAAATGGA